GGGGCGGTGCTATGAATAGTTTGCTATATCACCAGGAGGGAGAGCCAATCCTCCTTTAGGTTGGCTTTCACTCGTACACGACATACTCTCTGGCTAAGGGGCGTCATGTTTTCTCCAAACTGATTTTTTTTTTTAGTTCTGTATCGCTCTGATACGATGATTTGAGAGTCATAAAAAATGGACCCCTGAATCCGCAAAATGTGGGGGCCTGCCCTTTAAAGGATTTGTTAATGTCTTTTTTGGCTAACAATCTTACAACAAAATGAAAGTTAAAGAAGATGGCAGATAAGATACATTTTTTATGCCTGTAGAGAAATTCGGGTCACATTGGCATGTCATACGTAATACATATGCAGTGGAGTTTGTGAAAACTGTTAAAAGGAAAAATGTGACAATTTGGAAGAAAATAGAATTTCTGTATCTTAATTTGGCAAGGATGTGTCTGGTTAATAACGGCCACAGTCTTATGCCTGATTCGACTTGCCTTGTCTTTGCAATTATTGCTCTTCATTTTTTTTTTAGTTGCTAGCCTGACTACCTTTTATTTTAAATTTGTAACTTAACAGGTTCGGGAAATGGCTGCTGTCACTCTGAGTGGAATGATCCACTGTGGATTTGTGGACATGAATAAAGACATGCTGGTGAGTACTAGGGAAATGTTTTGGGTTTGTGAAGGTCTGCTCTCTTGATTCCATAGCCTTGACCTGCTGTTTCCAGAGTCTGCGCCCGAACTGTTTGAATTATTCTTTTGTTTTCTTTGGACAAAACAGTTTTGTTTATCTTGGGTGGTAGCCACTGCTTGTATATCTTTCAATTGAAAGAGTTCTTCAATAAAAACTTTTTTCAGTCATATGGATGAACAGTATCTAATCTCATCTTAATAAGACTAGAGACATTTTCTTATTGTGGGCTGGAATGTTATTTTCCTTGGAACCTGAATAACTGTTAGTTGAATGCTTTCCTGTAACATTTTGGTATGTACTGGTTGAGTTTTAAAAATTTTTTAAACTCTTTTCCTACCGGGCCAGAATCCACCATTGGCCCAGGGCTTTTCCCTGTCCTATTTTTACGGCCCTACCCCACCAAAGGAAAATGTCAAAACATCCAACGAAACTCTCACGAACCATATCATATGGCTCTTTAAACTGAAGGTTTAAAAATAATCTATCAGATGGTGATACAGTATGGAAGATTTATTCCAATTATATTAGTTAGGGGTTTCTAAAAGTGATTATGCAATATCGAAGGTGTCATATGAAATGGACAATTTTCCAGCTTTGAAAGGCCATATGTAAAAAAGTACAACAACAGCATCATTCAAACTTCACAGTAGAGTTGGGGCAAGCGGACGGACGGGTTCGTTACTCGCGGACTCAGTCAGAGCGAGCGGGTAACGGACGGCCATGAGAACGAACTGCGAACCTCATGACAGTTAAGTTTTTTGGGTCCGCTGCACAATTTGACTCTCTCAGCGAGCGGACTGCGGACCTCAAGCCTCAAGTCAGTTCGTTTTTTGGGTCCGCTCCACAATTTTATTCACTGGGCGGGCGGGTAAACGGACAAACTCTAGCAGACGAGATACTTGACGGGAGGTTAGGCCCACGGTCTATTGTTTGTTAATTAAGCCTAATGTTTCAAGCCACTAGCGGTGCCACAGGGTGTGAGAGAGGCTGGTGACGTAGTACTATGTGTGTCCATCACCTCGTGCGTGGGGCACACTGTGTACGTTCCAATTATCGCAAAGACGGGGGGGGGGGGGGGATTTCCGCCATGAACGCCTAGCTAAAATGTGAGGCAGGAGGGAGATTTTTTAATTTTTAAGTTTTTTGGGGGAGGGGGGGGGGTGTAAGTTATATGCTATGGAAGGAGTCGCTCCCGTCCGTCCGTCCGCCCGCTCGAATGCATGGAGTCTCTCGGTCCGCTCGTCCGCTCGCTCGCTAAACGAACTGTTGTCTCTGTCCGATGTGTAGCGAGTAGCGAACTACTCTTCACAAGCGGTGAAATGACAAAAAATCGTCTCTCAGTGCTGTATTTTCTTTCATATCCACTAACAGTATTCTATTTTAATTAGTGGATTGGAATAGTTAGCCAGCCTCTCGAGCCGTGTTTTGCGGCTCTCGGTCCAGCAAAATGATGGGAAAAGTGTTAAAAGATGACTTTTCTATTGAATAGGTTTACATCTGAGAATCACACTTGCTCCATAAGAATCTGCACTGATAGTTTCTTTGTCTTGAACTTACTTTGAAAGAAGTCTTGGTTAACTTCATGATCACTCTTTTTGTTGCCCAGAATTGTCCATTTCATTTCTCAATATGAATTCCCATTTAGATACTTACAGGGTGATCCAAAAAAACCTTTACAACTTGTTTTGTAAGTATCTTCCTCCATACTGAAGTTTTGCGTTTCAGATTTGAACATAACGTTTGGAAGCCAAAAGGAATTAGTCTGATATGTATTTTACATGGGTCTCAATATTCCGCTATTTAGCGGATTTCCGCTACCGCCATTTCCTCCGCTAAACTCTGCTACCGCGACAGCGGGTCAATCAGAAAGAGAGTTGCTGGAAGCAGAGTGACTGCCAGGCCTCGGGAATTACCCGGGAATTTGAAAAAAAATCGCCAAGACGTGGGGAAAATACATAAAAGATCTCGAATATTATTTGAAAACCAAATCCAATAACGTCTTTTAAGTTCATTTTTGCCGGTCGCGATTGTGATATTAATTCGGCTTTTCTCGGTCTGAGAGTACGTTTCACGCGAACAGGCGGCTGTGGCTGCAAGCGGAATTGTATGTGACACCAAGGCTCGATCGGAAAATCAAGATCTCAGAAATTTGACTGTAAAAGTCTAAATACGCAACATTTGTAACATGCAGGTTCTTCAATACAAACGTGGTGTCGCCATGAAAATAATGTTCGTCACTGTGCTGTCGCTTGTGGGGGCAAAAAAAAAAAGAAAAGAAAGTTATACAAGCGTCTTGTCGGGCTCGTCATTGTGACCGGTCAATGAACCTGCGCGCGTTCTGAGCGCTGTGAAGTACGGGACTCAGGAATGGGGGAGATTATTGATTTTTTTTAAAAGATACACTCGGGGATGGGGGGAGGGCTGGACGCAACACCAGAGGACAAAAAAAAAAAAGAAATTGGAAGCAAATTTTAATATTTAGAATTTTGATTACTACTACAGCTCTCTGCATAGTAAAGTGCGCGTTAGTGCATGCCTTGTGTATAATCGGGATCCGTCATAACTGCTTGTAAGCGTGTTAATGAACTTAGGGCAGGGGGGCCTAAGTGTTCACGTTTCATTGGATGGGTGAGAGTAAATTATGTCTCTATAATTTAGCTTTTTGTTCAAGATTCGCATACTTTTAGTGTCACTGCATCTTGCCCTCCCACAGTTCTTACACCTCTCACACTGAATAGGTTTACTTGAGCTATTCAAGTTATTACTCTACTTTGAGTTTGAGCATTAATTTTGTCTTTCACGTTTATTATATGAATCAATACACCCAGACTGGTTCATGGCAGTCGATATTCTGGTTCTAGGCCTTTTCCCAGACTCAAAACAAGATTCATTTTGATATAGTTTATATATGCAGGCGAATATGATGAAAGTAAAATATAAATAAGTCGCACAAGACCACAGTGCGCCTCCACTTTCTGTACGTAATCAAGATTGTAAATACTTGGTAAGTGACTCTTACTTGAAATTATCTTCCAAACCCCCAAACTGGTATGAAATAACCTTGCTTTGATAAATTGATGGTTTTTATTTCAACATTCTAGGGTCCCACAGTATAATAATAGTGGGTGTCTCGCGAAAATGGGCTTCTGTCGCGATCACGCGGAAAGTTCTCCTTTTTAAAAATTCTGAGTTGAGACCCATGATTTTAGATAAGTCCATAGAATGGTTTTGCTCTATATAGCGCATTAAAAAACCAACCCATTTTCAACCTTGTCGCCTATTTCATAGCATGACGCACCAGTTCGCATTAGGCCTACCACTAAAAGTTGCAACAATTGCGCCAAATTGCAAGCTACAGCAGTCTAACAAGTCAACAGAAGTCTGCAGATATTATTTTTCTCAAATTTCGTTTGCCTGCTTAGATCATGGTTATGTTTAGTAAAGAGCGGGGAGTTTTTTGTATTAAACATTACCCCTCCACAAACTCACCATCCTTGACATTTCGTAAGTTCTGCACACAGCATTGAGAGAATGCTTAGGTGCCCTCAAGATCTCTGGCGTCATAAGTAGAGAACTTCCGTCAGTTTGGATCTATAGTGAATCAGGACTAAAAGGTTCTTTTAAAAAATTGACCACTTCAGGTCGAACACGCACCATGCGCAGCCCTTTAAACGTCACCAGAGTGCAGATTTCAATAGTTGAGTCCCATGAGACGTCTGTCCGTGGATGATCTGCAGTTAGGATTTTCCTACACATCAACAGTCTGCATTCTCAAGGCAGATCTTAACCAACGACTATACCGTGTTCATCTTCGCTAGGCCGAGATGTCATGGATCAGAGCATGGCAATGTGTTCATGATTCCTCGATATTCTTGTAAAGAGGGATCATTTCCTCGATGATATTTGGTTTTGTGCAAAGCCCATTTTCATCCCTCGGGATATGTTAACTCCAAAAATGCTGTCTAATGGGCACCCCGCTCTATTGTCTCTAGAAGCCACTTTTTAGTGAACATGTACAGTGTATGTGGCTCTAAACACTCATGGTTAAACAGGTCTTTGTGTTAGGGTGCCACTGAACATTTCGAACGATGCATTAAAAATGTGTTGAGTCCAAAAGAGGGAATGTGGAGCACAGCTTCATGGAATTTCAGAATGAAATCATTAGGTTTTTTAAACTCTGTAAAAGAAATTAAATATTGTTGAAATGTCACAGGGATGGAAGATTAATGTCAAAGAGAAAATAAAGAAAAAGGTCAACTAATCTTTTCATGACTTCCTTCGCAAGATTTTTAAACATTGATGAACTTAACGTTTTTGGGTGCTTTTTTCTTTCGGCCGTTTCCGTTTTCAAAACATGCTTCTTCTTCGTGGATTTTATATCTAACAAATTCCTTTTGAATGAATTATGTCTGTTCCAAACTACTGCATTCCAGACCAATTTTTGCGCAAGATATTGAGAAAACAAGTTGTGAAGTGTTTTTTTGGATCACCCTGTATGTTAGTTTTCTCCTTCCTTTTCATGTTACATCTCTGCCAAGTGCTAAGATAAGATGATACTTCATTGTCCCAATGGGAAATTTTTCTGTGTCTTTACAAGAATTGTAAAAACACACATATATATATATATATATATATATATATATATATATATAATTTAGGTTATACATTACTTTCATAAAAATTCAATATGAAGAGAAAAATAAAGATGACAATAATGCAACATATCACAACTAACCTTTTTCAACTTGTTGTACTGGAAACTGCGGAAAATGCCATTGCAAAGGATTCTACCATTTGCTGGCTCTGTTTGAAATTGAAGAAGTAATCTCTGTGTTGTGAGTTTGCCATCTTTCCAGCTTCCTTGGAATCAGGCTATGATAGCAGGAAAAACATAAAAGTGAAAAAAAAAAAAAAAGAAAGCACAAACCAAATAGCATGCAGGTAGAGAAGTGAGTGGGACACGAAAATCTTTTTGTATGGTTTGAATGTCACTCCACTGTGTATGTGTTTTAAATATGTGTGTGCGCCTAGTGAAAAGTACCAAAAGTCGCCCAGACAGTTTCGAGTTACAGGCTGATAATGACAAAAATCACTTTTTTGACCAAAGTGTGTTTCCATTTAAAAAAATGATAAATCCACTATTTTTTAACAATGTGCTCAAAGGGTTTTCACTGATTTGACTTCTAAATATTTTATTTTGAATTATTTTGAGGGTAGGGTATAATAAAAATAAATTATGAAAGCTTCTTTTAAAAGGTGTTAAAATCTATTCTTGAAGCACATTTTCTCTTCCCTGCCATGTTTTACCATTGAATTCCATTCATGTTTTTGATGTCAACTGGATGTCGAATTGGAAATGAATTTTCAGGAATAAATACATTTAAAAAATCATTTTTAAAAAGTTTGTATGTGTTCCCACGTTTGTTAAGCTTAAAAGCTCATTTTCTCAAAATCATATTTTTATACCCTACCTCGCAAAATGTGCAATATCTCAAAAACTACTTGAGATATCCAGAAATTCAAAAACCGCTGCGTTCAGCATTGAATTTCCTATAAGGTACAACCCTTAACTCAAAATGGTCAAAATCCGACTTTTGGTACCTTTCATTAGGCACACACACATATAAAGAATATACATATGTAAGAAAAAAATCTTGTTTGCTATGTGCATGTTTCAGTATAGGCAGTCATATATCGCCACTCATTTCTCTGCTGGTATGCTCTAATAGAATAGTTTATTCTGAGTAGTATGTAGTACAGTGTCCCTGTAATAAAGACCATGTGCAGTGCTAAAAATGATGTTTTCACGGTTCACTGTCTGTCTTTGTCCTGGTAGGATCACTTTGAGCGCCTCCGTTCCACCAAGGTGAAGAAAGTGAGGCGTAGCCAGGCCATGCAGGAGCCCGTGTCTTTGCAGCGGCTGGTGCAGCGACATGCGGGAGTGCTGGGTCTGAGCGCCTGTGTGCAGGCCTACCCGTACGATGTGCCGGAGTTCATACCGCAGGTCTTGGTGGACCTCAGCGTGCACGTCAACGACCCACAGCCTATAGGGGTGAGTCAGCCTGTTACGGCTTGTGTATTTAACCCTCATCCTGCGGGAGCCGGTTTATGTAGCCCGATAAGCCTATTTCGGCACCTCGCCTACGTTCTGGTCCCGAATCAGTGTAGCTCCTGGCTCAGCGCACGCGCAGCGCGCATCCTCTTATGTGTCATTCGGGTCTCGAGTCGGATCCCCATTCACGCAGGTCAGGTGTGTGTGCGTCAGTCTGTTTGAGTTTGTGTGCGTTTGTGGCTTTCTTCTAGAACCGCCTGCGTTGGTTCGTAATCGAGGCATACGTCTCATTCAAAACATGTCAAGTTGGTAGCTCTAGATGTTCGTCCAATGAAATTATAGAAGAAATTGACCCACTTACACATGAGGAGCTCGAAAGGATAAACAGGAAACAAGACTTCCATTTTTCTATACAAAATATTTCATATGAGCTTGATTTTGTATGAAATGATATTACCTGATAAAAAAATAAGCTTGTTTGATAGTTTTGAATACCATTGTGCAGGTACAAAGAACAATTTGAGTGTAAAACATTCGGAAATTGACCTAAATCTTTCGAACCTCAGGTCATTCATAACAATAAGAGCGTCCAGAAAGGTTATTCGAATGGGCGAAACTACTCGTAATGTCTTATCAGCTTGTGAGAGGCTAGGGGGTTATTCATGTGTTTGTAAAACTTTATAAATAGAAAGCTATGAAGGATAGAGCGCTATTTTCATCATGGGTTAACACACTCCCGCGGTATTCATGGCGAAAACACACGTTTCCCGGTGCGCGCGCTGTACACCAACAGTACACACTGAGTGACCCTGGCGGCCTGCCCGGCACGTCCGACGTAATCGGTTGCTGATAAGATATGCATCTGGGCACAGACGCAGGATAATGGCATGTCACGTTTGTAAAGAACGTTTTTATTATTGAGCATATCATTTTTTAGATTGATCACGTTATGATGCCATACAAAGAACCATATTTGAGACTTTCAAGTTTTTGAATGTCTTAATAGCTGCCTCCAAAAAATATGACCACAGTGTAAGTGTAATGCAAACCTTTGTGATGCTGAAGTTGTGGTTATACCATAAAACGTTCTCAGATAGATAAAGAGAGAAAAATGGATAAAGTGAAAGAAAAATAGATAAGAGCTGGATAGATAAAGAGAAAGACAGAGAAGGCGAGAGGAAGTGGGAGAGATGGTGAGAGAGAGAGAGCGAGAGAGAGAGAGAGATCTCTATATCTAAAATAGAATCAGGTGGAGAGTGCTAAGGTATAGTACCTTTCCTTAAATGCATAGAGTGCTCAGTATTGGAATCAAACCTGGGTGTCAGTGTCATGATGGAGCTTAGTCTAACTGGACTTGTCTATCAGTAAGTTCTCTGCCCACCTCTTCATACTTAAGTTTGATGTATGAGTAAATCTACCTGGAATAACTTCAAGAGACTAGCCCAGGATAGAGAAAGGTGGAAAGTGGCCTACACTGTGGTGCAGGGTGAAAAAGGCAATGATAATGATGAAGTGTACATCTGTATGTAAGAGGTGGGAGATGGCAATCTCTGAAAATGTGAAATAACAGGACAGCTTCTGCCTGTGCCTGTAATATTTTCTGAGTCACTGTATTATTCCGAGTGACTATTATTTTGAGCCACTGTCAACATTTACGCTGCAAGGAATTATTGCTTGACATGTTGTTTACTTTAACCTTTTTCCTCAGACAACAGTGACAAAGACCTTGTCCAACTTCCGGCGTACGCATCATGACAACTGGCACGACCACAAGAGGATGTTCACCGATGACCAGCTGGTCACTTTAACTGACCTTTTGATCTCCCCAAACTACTATGCATGATCATGCGTTTTTGATGTACGCGCTCTTCACAACAGCAGTTTGAATGACTGCTGTGACTTCTGTCAGATAAGTCGTAATGGTTCCTCGCGCACATTAACTCTGGGTCACTGTTTTTTTTCCTTCTTCTCTGATATGTGCTTCTTTTTGGTAGATCATGTTTATTATAAATAGCTTAACAAAAACTAAACAGTTGACTAAAACGGAATATCTGTCACTCAATTGTGATGTTCGAAACAAATAGCAAAGTACTTAAAAAGTTTGCAACAGCTTGAAGTTTTGTTTTTCGTCATGAGCTTGCCCTATTCTGTTCAATTTCAAGAGAGCTGACTTTTTGGATTATATGAACAGTGTGTCAGAGTTGACTTGTGTGTCAGAATTTACAGTTCTCAACTTGTTGCTGAAGCAGCCCGGTGGATTTTCCAGTTGTTTTGTTCGTTCCACTGAACACGAAGGCTGCATTGGCCCATTGTCACTATTAAGGCAGGTGCCTCTGGCCTGTTCGAAATGTTTTTTTTTTCTATCATTGTGCATCTTGCGTGCTCACTGCTTCCTCACACAGATAAACTTGGTTACAGAATGTTCAAAGCAGTTTCTAGATCAAAATGAAAGGTAGTATTCTCTCTGTCTGTAAATTGAGCATGCTATGTCTTTTAAAAGTTTACTTTGTTTGTCTTATAGAATGTTAGGTTAAACTGTCTTTGATTGTCTCTTAACAATATTGAAATGTTGTTTAGTGAAGTTTTTGCAACCATCAAGAAATACTTTTTGGATTGATATAGTGTTTTTGTTTAACCCAACCCTCGTATAGCTGTATTTTAACAAAGTGCTTTTAATAGCACTTTAATAATATTAGGATTAAGTGCTGTGTGGGTCAGCACAGAGAGATGTTTCATCTCCATCTTTCCTGCTGGACGAGAGGAACAAATTACACTTGTACCACCTTTGGTATAAACCTTATGATATGAAAAGAGATTGCCACTATGTTTTTTAACTTGGATGTTTGGACATGATATTGGGACAGGTTGCATAGTATATTAAATATATCTTACTTTTTCACGGGATATTAACCTTGCTGTTTTTAATATTTTTGATTATATGTGCTGAATGCTTCTGTGTTGCTGTTATTGAGTAGGGCGTATACAAAGTCAGGACTTGTAGCATTATATTTTAACGTTTTCGTTTAACTGACATGCCCATATGATATACCAATTTGTGGAATGAATTTTGTTAATCTTTATTCAGTCTGGTAACATGTCCACTCCTGCAAATCATTTGTCATTAATGAAAGTTAATAAAGTGGTGTTTTGATTTATACATGTGAAAGTGTGTAATTATTATTGAAGAGGCTTTTAACTGGCATGAAAGTCTGGAAATGTTGGCTTCAATGTGATAATGTGAGGACGTCTGGGGAAAAATTGTTTCATTTATAAATGAGCTTTTGTTACCTGTATGTACAATGTAATTATTATTCTTAAAGATGCAGAGCTGCATTTGTCCTTATCTGCAATCTTTATTATTTTGTATTTTTCTCTTCTTCCTTTCAAGAGTACTACATTCATTGCCTTCTTGTAACAATGTAAAAAAGTCATGGACAGAAGAGTTTAAGTACGGGCCCCTGCTTGCTGCTTTTAATTACATAATCTGATGTCAATACAAGGACTCTCTTCTCTATGCTTATCTTTGCTAAAGTGAACAATGCTGATGAATTGATTACTATATGGTGAATTTTGAGCTGCAGGGAGAGATGGCTGTTGAAAATTTCACTGCTCTCTTTGGTGGCTTTGTTGGCATTATTGTTTTAGTGTATGGGATCTCAGATGATGATCATGGGGGTTGACTCATCTGATATCTTTAGCCGTACACTGAAGTCATTTACTGTCACTGGTTTTGGTTTTGTTTTGTTTTCTAAATGGTCTTTAATCTGTCTTTTTCTCTTCGTATTCTGAGAATCTTTCACTGCAGTTTATTTCTGAAACTGTCTTTTGATATTTTCTTCTTTCTTTCCTTCACTTTTTAAGCAGTCATAAGATTCCACATCATTTGACTTAATCTAGGATCCTATGCAATAAACCTAACAGTCTTTTCATTGTCATTTTACTTCAACTTTGTGTATAGTTTATGGTGATGAATGCTGTAGATTATTGATTACCAACATCTTCTCTCGCCATCAGATGTAACATGACCAGTTGAGTTTTTCTTATGAAGCAGTTGACATTCTTGCCCAATTCTCTAATGTTGTATTTTGTGTTGTTATCATTTAAGAATTTCCGCTCTGTTTTCTTTTTCAACCTATGAGTTTGTAGTCCTACTTCCCTTGTTGCTAGTTAGCTTCATTAGAATGACAAAACTCTGTTGACTTATGTTGAGTGTGAAGAGAAGCGTTATATTTCTTTCCTATGCTTTGGATTGTGATAGATTTTTATTTCTTTTTTTTATATGGTCATTTTGAAGTATTTGACAAGTTCTGTTCCTGGATTCAGAGCTGAATGTTGTTTGATATAAACTTAAAGGCAGAGCTGATGGATTTATGGTTGAAAAAGCAGTAGGAGTAGATTTAGAGTAACTGCAAATTCTATTAGTTAAGTAGAGTTTAAAAAATTAATTTTTTAGAGTAATTTTTCTAAGGTGTTACTTTTATAAAAAGAGTGTGAGGAATATCTGCATAATTGTGGAGAAATACAATTTTTAAAAGAAGCAAGAAACTTTACTGACAAAAAACAGTCTTCCCTACCAACTTTCAGCTGAATGGGAGATGTACTTGACCGGAGAAAAATCAAGCAACTTTTAATGTGTTTTGGTCTTGGGCAATTTCTGTTACTAATGTACAGTTTTTGTACAATCATACTTTCTGAATTTCCCGCTGCACATATAGAAGCTATAATTTATACAAATGGAATCAGCTACTGCAAGGAAAGGCTAGCGAGAGGAGCATTACGGTTAGAGAAAAATTTATTGTGAGAAAAGATTTTTCATTGTTTCAGGAAGCAACATCCCTGCATTCCGGACATGTCCATTGATGCTCCGTTGCTTTCTCCTAAATATCTTCGAGGGTCTTTCCACTGATTATGTGAGAAAAGAACAAGTAAAGTATTTCAGAATTGCTGGTCGCCCTTTTCTGTCCTGTGGACACCCAGCCATGTTGGCTACAGATGTCTCTGGATGTATTTCCTTATTTAAAAACAGTTTTCTTTTTTTTCTCTTTTTTTTTTGAAAGCCTGCCTTTATTCATGTACCTTTCAGTTTAAAAAAAAATCTTGTTTCCCTTTGAGTCTATAGTAATCAGGTGTGTTTTGTTATAAATTGACGACATATGTAATGCTGATTGTGGAAAATATTTTGTAGGGAAAGCAGGATTATAAGATTTGTGCTATTGCAGAGGTTGTTATTAGTCTTTCTGCTGATGCTCGCTCCACTTCCCTGACCTCCTTGTCTGTTGCCAGAAGAGAGATTTTTGTTTTGTTTTTAAAACCTGTTCTTGCTTATAATTGGGCCACAAATGAGAAGACATCGTCATAATAAAATAGGATGTAAAAACATGCTCCGATCTGGAATTTCTGATTAGGTGACTTCTTTCAAAATGTGGTTCTGTGAAGCTGTTGTTATGGGGTGTGGAAAGAACTAATGATATTTTTGTCGCATGTTATGACTAAATCTATAAGCTCTGTTCCATAGGACTGCGCTCATCTTCTTTGTCTGATATCAATATCTGTCATCATCTTAATACTCCTCTTTATTAAATTTACGACTACTAAAGCCAGTATTATATCCTGTTTATCTTCAAAACTAGCAGTGACATCATTACCTTTTGTTTAGATAGTAAGTATTTTGTTTTTGTAAGTGTTTTACGGCGTTCGCAACTGCTTACGGTCATATGAGCGAGCACAGTTAGTATAACATATCTTGAGTTGAAAAGTGTGTGGTGAGTAAGAATAGACAGTGAACCGCCTACAAGTGCTGATACACTGTGGCTTTGGTGGCCTAGTGGTTAGGCTCCCCAACATGCAACCGTAAAGTCATGGGTTTGAATCCCGTTGGGGACGGGACGTTGTGTCCATGGGAAAGGCACTTTACACAAATTTTCCTCACGACACCCAGGTGGAAATGGGTACCCGGCTATAGACTGAAAGATCTTGTCAGTTTGTTAGTAATGTTAGTGTTTGAGCATGTGAAATCCGCAGCTTGCACTGTATGCTTCCCTGGAAGCTAAAAATGTTTCCGCGTGTTGTAGGGTCTGCTGAGGTAGTAATAATTGTTAAGCGCAAAGAAGATGATGTGGAGCGTGGATATGCGCTATATAAATGCAATTATTATTATAATGAGGATCTTCACAGCTGGGGGGTTAGTAGACCATAGAGTATCCTTAGTTTAGAGAGCAAATGAAAGAATGAAAAATATTTGTGGGAGATGTAAGCAGGTTCAAATTTATTTAGTCGCTTTTAAGCACAAGGGGGCTATCCCGAAAATGCTGTTTTGAGAAAATCAACGTTAAAGTTTTTGCCCCTTGTTCAGTTTCTTTAAAAAAGTAGGAGAGTTTACTCCATAACCAAACAAATATATATACCAATGGAACCGAACGTCCGTTATACTCAAAGTTATAGGTAGGGCAATGCCCACTTTTGGTGTAGGTCAAGATTTCTGGATACCCCGAAACCTGGTACAGCCCGCTTGTCCTTAAAAGCGGCCATTTAAAAGGATATGTGGAGGCTTTGATAGGAATGGAGCTCCCACCATATATTGTATATCATATATCTCGGTTTAATCTGTTTGCATAAAAAGTAAAAGGGAAAATCTAGTAGTCCCATAATACTAGCTAGTCAGGTCTTACCATATATGTAAACATGTAACTTTTGTCAACTGTTTATTTATCGTAGAGTGTACTAGAAAATCAAATGTTCTGTAATCATATTTTTTTTTATTAATCATGTTTATTTATATATACACATACAGTCGGGCACAGATAACAGGAACTCGGAAAACTTGAAATCATTTATAGCTTGTACAATTTGCCATTTTCCAACTGATATCTCTTTAATATTTCACTTGGTATCTGTTTACCTGAGTTATGGATATTTCGAACACATTTGTCAATCCCCTGTGTGTTTGTTATCTGTGCTCGACTGTACATACATATATATGTATATGTATATATATATATCTTGAGTGAATGAGTTGCTATATTTAATAAAGAGCACTAATTTGGTAAAATAATAGGAATAGTGGCCATTACAGTGTGAGCAAGGTCTGTAGACAGACATGCTTCTGTTTAGCTCTCGTAGGAATGGATCAGGTGCGGTCCTTTCGGAGGTGGACGTTTAACTCGGAGGTCCTGCCTCTTAAATAACTTAATAGTGTTGATAGGGACGTTAATCCTCTACCATTTCACCATCGACCAGGTGTGCAATCAATGATAGGACGGTCTCTGTATTTTTGGTATGGACGGTCTTACTTATTTACAGATTTTGCAGTCGTAAACAAATAGATTTTTTTCTCTAAATTCTGTTTGTGTTTTGGTGTTTTTGAAGTTGTGAGATTGTACGAGTAATTTGCTCTCTGCTGTCACTGGATTGTTTGTTGAGCGGACACTCCTGACTGGACATTGTATTTTATGTGGGGGAATACAGCAGGGATTCGTTTTAACCCATTGTCCTTTGTACAAAAAAAAAATAAAGATTTATGCAGATAAGTTGAACATATTGTTTTGTGTGTGTGTGTCTGATCTTGGTAGTGTAAGTGTTTATCATGCGCAGTAGTATATTTAATTTTAGCAATTTCTACAAGTTGAAGAGGTATTGGTAACCTAATGGTTAGGCTGCCGGACTTGGAATCATGAGGTTGCGGGTCTTGGGGTTTGAGCCTCAGCTCGGTCCAATATTGTGTTGTTTGAAAAAGCTCTTGATGCGAATTTCCTATTTGGCTTGGTCTTTTTGGAGATGGACGTAAACTCGGAGGTCCTGAATACTGATAGTGTTGAGGGGTTATAAGCCTGTGCCGTTTCACATTTCACGAGTTGAAGGCTGCAGTTGTTAGTGCACAGGCATACATTGGTCTATATTATGCTAGCATCTGCGTTTGAAAATTGTTGCAATTTTTTGGTCCAAAAGTTGCCACAAAAATGGCAAAAGTTGCCGTAAAAGTTACCATTAATTTTCAAGCTTTCATCTCTCTGTGACGACGTATATAGCAATTTGTTGAGATAGGTAACTTAATCCATGGCACCACAATTTCTTGTGCAGAATCCAGAATATCATTTGTAGCCACACAGAGTGTAAAAACGTGAAAAATAAAGGTCTCACAACAGAATCAAATCAAA